AAACACAGACCTACTTTAACACTAGGAACCCTTGTTTAGGATCCTCGGATTACTGTAAAACAGTATCCACAAAATGTACATGTCAGTTAAAGTTTGTCATCCAAAGGGCACAAATTGATTTGTCTACCTTCAAAAACCAATTATACCGAGAGCTTCTGATAAGCCCTCAACTTCTGTTAGAAGTCAGATGTCTTCAAGATATTACCATCCCTCCTACAGAAAGATTTCATTCATTAACCCCAGAAATAAACTCTGTGGTAAATGAAATACAAGTCGAGCATATGATGAGTGTGCTCTTAAAAATTACTTCTTCTCCAAGAAGTCCAAATTCTCTTGACAGCATGGCAAAACATGTTGTTAAGTTATACACAGAGGTAAACCCTGAGATGCGTACCTCTATAGAGCAAGATCCTTTTCAGGGACTTACTCTAAACAAAGATAAGCTTTACCAATATCAGCTTTGGAAAGCTTTTGTAGAAGGATCTAACTGGAATTTCTCCAAAAAGGATATTTCAGATTTTATTCTTCTCAAAGAAACTGCTGATACCAAGCTCTATTGGAAACAGCTTATGGGAAACAAGTTTCATCCTTTTCCCAACTGAAGCCAGTCCCATTCTGGTAGAACACTTCAAAAGAGAAAGGATTCTCAAAGAAATTTATGAAGAAACTGGAATCCATGGACAAGGAACCCCAGGAGCTTCATTTCCCTCTGATGATGAGGAAGTAAACTTCTTTGACCAGATGGTTGAAGAAGGACTTGAAGACATGTCCTCTGTGTCAGTTTCCAGAAGACATTGTTAAAATTTCAAATGGCGGAACTGTACAAATCCCGCCTCCCCACAACCAATGAGTCTTTCTGATAAAGACGACTTTACCCTCGAAGATTTCGAAGATCTCCTAATGGCGTAATCTCTCACGTCATTAGCCATACAAAGACCATTTTGCCCTTGAAGGTTTCGAGGAGCTTCTCATGACGTAAGCCCTTACGTCATAAACAGCTGTATCAAAAGACGACAAAGGTTAATGGCAGATAATGATATCTTGCTACCTTGTCACGATTCCTCTTCCGTTACATGTTGTTAGGCCCATTAAGCCTTGCATGTTAATGACGGTAAGATCGAATCAGTCTTTTGATAAAATGTAAAAAAAAAAAAAAAAAAAAAAATTAATGAATGTCACTATTTTTGTCTTTTAGTGACTTTACTATTTTTGTTTTTTAGTGAGGAAGTTTCCTCCGTAGGATTACTTCTTTGCTAAGTTTTGAGACCCATTAGTTATAAAGTGGGTCCCACATGTAAATTACTATTCATTAGTTTAATATTTTTGTTTTTCTATATAAGGCTTCTTAAGTCCCTTATGCTGGGCAGAAGCTTAAGTAAGTAAGCATTCCCCTCTCTCCTCTCCTCCTTCTCTCTACTTCTCCCCCGCTTATGTAAATTTCTTACTATCAATAAGAGAAGTTATTCAGCATCTCCCCTCTCCTTCTCCTTCTCTTCCCCCCAAGTAAGTGCTCTCTGCTCCCCCTTATGGAGTAGTTTTCTTATAAGGGCGTCCTTGGATGCCTTAAGCTTTATTTATTTAAAGATGCGATAATCATTTAAAGGCTTAAATAATTTTTGTACAGCTTTAATTTTGTTCATATAAGCTTATGAGGAGATGTCTAACCGGCTCTGCCAGATTCAGTCATCTCATAATCTTATCATGGACTTTGTGTGTTTATTTTCCCTGTCTTTACTTTTCTGCATTTAATTTCGTTCATGTATAAGCTTATGTGGAGATGTCTAACCGGCTATGCCAGATTCATTCATCTCATAATCTTATAAGTGAACACTTTACTTGCTATAACCGACTTTATCTCGGACAGTCTTCATTTTAGCTAGCCCGGTTTCGGGTTCTCTGGTAGCTAAGTAGCCACGTTGACCTACAGAAGAGATAAAGAGTTATAACATGTTTTAATTTATTTTGTTTTCCTGTCTCTTTACTTTCCTCCTTTCCATCCCCCCTTCGGGTCTCAGGGCAGTTTATTCTAGGTTCATTCCCAGTTTTCTCTGTTCTGTCCACCCTCCGGTATCTGAGCAGTGTTTTCCCCTCACCGGGTTTTCCTGCTTTCTCTGTACCTCTCTCCCCTCTTTTGGTCTGGGACCGAGGGTTTAAGTATCGTGGTGTGAACCCTTACTAACAACTATAGTTATTGGCTAAGTGGCTAACGCTGCGCGCTCATCCTTTGGTATCAGAGCGAGGACGCGCACTCGATTCCTGCCGAGGACGGAATTGGGGCAGCGGGTGGTTCATCCTAATAAATCTAAATCAAAATTTCATCACATTTTACCTAATATTTCCAAATTCACTCGAGACAAATCAATCACTTATTTTATAAATCAATATATTCCTATTTAATAGAGCATATTCAATGTGGGTTATTTATTAAGATGATTAAATAAATTATTAATTGTATAAAATAATTTTTTATAAAAATAATTTTATGTGGTATATGATAAGTTGTTTATATTTTTTATAGATATTTTATGAAATAATTTATAAAATAAACAATAAAATAAATAAAGAGAGAAAATATGAAAGAATGAATTCTTTAAAATTTATTTAAAATATTTTTAATAAAATAAAATTAATGATAAATTATTTTAATATTATAAATTTTTACTTTATATTTTTAAAATAATAAATAAATTATATAAGTTACTGTTATTGAAAATAACATGTGACATTTTATATTATTTGTAGAGTCACACATTTAAATCAAAATCAAACAAAATCTCTTCCAAACCACTCCTACCAAACCTAAAGGAAGAATTAAAGTTAGCACGTTACCTAATCTTCCTAGTGTGTAACGGATCAACATACTTTTATATTTACTCAAACCATATTTAATCAAAGTTAGTATTTGGAGTGGTTTAGAAATAAAAATGAATATTTTATTATGTGTTTTGTATATAAGATATTTAAAAAAAAATTATTTAAAATTAAAAAATTTATTTAAATAAATAATTCTTTAAAGCAATTTAATTATGAGATTAATAATAAAATATTTAATTTTAATATATAAATAATAATTATAATATTTTTTTCTATATTTTTATTTTTATTTTTTATTTAATTTTTTCTTATAAATATTAAAATAAATCTATTAAATAAAAAAATATTTATTAATGATATTTATTTGGGCCAAAATCATTTGTACCACCGACCAAATTACATGATAAACTTTTAAACTATTATATATAAGTCTGTCACATCTTACATAATATCTCAAATGGTTGAAAATGAAATTGGGAAGGCTACGTTCGGACATGGAAATCTAGATAAGGAATCAATTCCATTTCACCCTACAATTGCAAGAAAATAAATCTTGTGAGCCATATATATATATATATATATATATATATATATATATATATATATATATATATATATATATATATATATATATATATATATATATATATATAACTTTTCACTCTATTTTTACATTCTCTTGTTTAGTATAAATTTTAGATGAAAGAGTCTGTAAAAAGTAATTATCATACTAAAACAAATATATTATATATTCAATATTATTAATAGAATTTAAATGTTAGAAAAATAGAGCTTATTTCCTCTATTCTTTTTTTTTAAATAAAATATAATTCTATTTTTAGATATTTTTAAAATTTAAATTAATTTTTATATTTTAATATGGAAAAGAATATTATAAAACATTAAAATAATTAACTAATTTATAATAAAAAATAAAATATATCACTATTTCATATTTTTATATTACATTATACATACTAATTTGTTATATTAATATAAAAAATAATAAAAAAATTGTTTTACTATTGTTTATTTTAAAAAAATTATTAAATATCTTTTATGTTCTTTTTTTTTAACTTTTTTTATGTCTTTTTGAGTATAAGAGAAAGAAATGAAATAAAATATAAAAAAATAAAAATTAAAAAGAAAAATTTAAAATTTTTATGTTGTAAAATGAAATTATAAAAGAGAAAAAAATATAAAAGTAAATAAATAATATAAATATAAATATAAAAAGAAAAAAATAAGAAGATGAAAATAAAAGGAAGAAAAAAAATTATGTAAAAGAATAGATATAATATTATTATCAATAAAATATTTAAAATTTATTTTTATTTATAAAATATATTTTTTAATATATATATATATAATGCCCCGCTGGTTCCGTCTTTACCCTTTTTCATTCAAAGAAACAATAAATAAATCAATAATGCTGTTGTCACTTTTATTTCATTTTATTATAAAAATAAAATATTGTAAATAAGTTTAGTCAAAGACAACATTGTAGACTTACAATTTCTTTCTTTTTTTCAAGAAAAAAAGCTAAAGAAAAAGATTGTATGAGCTGGGGGATGATGATATTGTAAGCTTCCACGTTTTTTCAAAATGGTATGGTCAATCAAAACTTTGCTTTAAACGTCTACTTAACAGACATTATTATGAGGATATGTAACATGATCTAACCCAATCTTCTTAATATGGAAAACAAAATAAAAGTTTTGTACGTCTTGTCTGAGTGGCCCATATCCACTGAGATCCCGTAGGTTCTGGAAAAGTCCAACGCATGTCGTTCCTACCAAGCCATTACTTACGTTCGCAGTGTGAATCCACTTTAGCGTCAGGTCGTGGCACCGTCAAGCCATCCTGCTAACAATGTTCGTATCGCATGATATGACGATTGTGTTACGTCGTGTTCATCATTAAAACAACCTAGCTTTAATTAATTCCACCACACACGCCATTCTTACATATGTTTTCCTCACAGCGCGTCTCTTTCGTGTATTTATAAATTTGTTTTGTGTCTATACACACGTGTACGGCATATGTGCTACAATTACAATTATAATCATCCATAAACTAAACTCCCTTATATATATATATACCTCTCATCTCCTTTTATTAGTTCGCAATTCTTGTTTCTTAATATCATTTATATATTTTTGTCAGAGAAAACAATAGTAGTAAGAATGTCCGGTGAGGATTCACAGACACAGAAGAAGGCAGTGTTTGACGCAGAGACGGCGTCGTCTCTGATGAAGGAGTTAAGGGAGAACTTCGGTTCAAGAAGGAGTCGAAGTTATGAATGGAGAGTGTCGCAGGTGAAGGCTCTCTTGAAGGCCGTGCTTAATAACGAAGAGCAAATCGTGAACGCTCTTCGTTCAGACCTAGCCAAGCCTCCACTCGAAACTGTCGTATACGAGGTATTACTCTCTTATCTTCGTGTTTGTCACTGATCTTTAAACGGGGTGTTTTCTGATGACCCCTTCCTCTCTTGCAAGGAGGATATATTTTTTGGGAAAAGATATTTCTGACATCCAAATTTTCAAAACATCTTCTAAACAATTTTAAAATGGTTGTTGGATAGATTTTAAAAAAAGTGAGTGTTAAAAATATTCTAACTTATATTTTTGAAAGATTGATAATATTTTTGAACTTATATTCTTTTAACAACTGTGTTTAATAATATAATAATAATTTTATTTTATTTATATAAAAGTTTATAATAATTATTATAATATTAAATTAAATTATTTAATAAGAGTTTTTTTTCCTAATGGTTAATATATGATATTTTTTGTAATTTTTTTTAAGTAAATGATAAAATAGATTAAATTTAGTGTAACTCGATATAATGTATTAGTATTTTTAGTTTATGAGTCAGTAACCACTAATTTATCTAAATAAGTTAACCTATATTTTATTTAATTAATAAAAATATAAATTATTTATTATAATATAATTAATTATAAAAATATTATATAAAATAAAAATTATAATTTTTTTTTAAATCTGATTCTCATTTATTATAAAAAATATTTTATTTATTCAAACATAAATCTTTTATTTATTTTTTATTTTTTTATTCATATTAAACACGAATTATTTTTGTTTTATAAGTTAAATTAAAGATAAAATTTAAATTAAAGATTCAATAATTATTCAAGTAATAAATAATATAAAATTTTATCTAATAAAAAATACATATATTTAAATTTTTTAATATAAAAAATATAAATTTTATAAATTTTGATATTATTTATATATATTTATTATTATATAAATTTTATTATTATTTTAAAATAAATTATTTAAAATAATATATTAATTTATATTATTAACTTAAAATATATATTAAATTATTAATAAATAATAATAATTTTATTATTAAATTTATTAAAAATTTTAATTTAAAAAAAATTATTTATTTTTTAAATTAGGGCGAGGCGGACCAATATAGCTGTCAGCACGTCCCGAGTCAAGTATTTTCATCCTGTTTTTAAGAATAGGTTTACTTGCTTTATTTTCACTGAAAATCACGTGGAGAAGGAAATTTTTATTTGAAAACTCGGAAGTGTTCTGGAATAATTCCATTTATATGGTGCATATAGTAATTTTGTAGGGGGAATGCTTTGACATGAGAAAGTCTTGCCAGTGACGATACATATGAGCATTATCTTTGTCTCAATGTGTTTATAACTCTCAACAGTCAACGGATCCTCCAAACTAATTTTGTATAGCACTTTTTATCATTAAATAAAATTTTCAGCACTTTAAATTACTTTTTTTTTTTTTACAACTTTAATAGTCCTTCATAACAACTTATACAGTGGTATTTTAATTAGGTTTTAAAAGCAATGAATCAAAATTTTGAAAGGTTAATATAAAATTTTAGAGGAGGAATATGATGATGGGTTTAATATTGAAGGATTAATTTAATTATTAACCTTTAATGAATTAGTCTCACCATTCATATAACTCTGGAAAAAAAAAATGGTCAGGGGCAGGTCATCAAGAAGTATAAGAGTAGTTCCTTAAAAAATCTAAACATTCAGATAGTGGTACCAACAGTAAGGGACAAGAAAAATCACTTCGAAGTAGCCCTGAGAAATGGATAGATGACAACAACTTCTGAAAGCTCTGACTAGGATGTAGTTATCAACCAAGAGACTTTGTTATATTATCAATAGGTCACATAGGGACCAATACAAGTATCCAACTGCTATAAATATCTTATTTTCTATCTACTCTTAACTGATGTAGTTTGTCATGCAGATTGGTATGCTTAAAAACTCATGTGAAGTAATACTGAAAGAATTGAAACATTGGATGACGCCAGAAAAGGTACATTTCATCACAATTAATTCCTCAGCTTGCAAAGGCAATTGACCAATAATAATAATAATTTGTGTACAATATATTCATCAAATCAAATGATGTTCATCCATTTATTTCAGGTCAAAACTTCAATCAGAACATTTCCATCTTCAGCTGAAATAATACCTGAACCTCTGGGTGTTGTGTTGGTCATCTCTGCATGGAACTATCCACTTTGTATGTTGATCAATATTTTCTTTACCTTCAGTTTATATATGTATTACCTGATAATTTCACCCTTTTCTTATTTTATAATCTACAATAAGTTGGTAACTCTTTCTCTGTCTATAATTCCAGTGTTGTCCCTTGACCCGGTCGTTGGAGCCATAGCAGCAGGTAATGCTGTGGTTCTAAAGCCATCAGAAATTGCTCCAGCCACATCATCACTACTAGCAAAATTGATAGAAAAGTATATGGATCCCTCGTTTGTGAGAGTTGTCGAGGGGGCAGTTGATGAAACAACTGCATTATTGCAGCAAAAGTGGGACAAAATTTTCTACACAGGTTTTTCTTCTTTGCCATTATTCTAGTTTTCTTTCTAATTGCTCTGCTTTTATGCATGTATATCCTCGTGCAATTTTGAAATCCCACCTCAGGAACTAATTAATGCATAAATTTTGCATAAAATAGCAAGAAAATTAAATGATTTGTCTCATCAAATTATATATGTACTTTCTCGCGTGAGTAATTGCTGGATTGTTAGGTAATGGAAGAGTGGGAAGGATAGTGATGACTGCTGCTGCAAAACACCTTACACCAGTTGTGCTGGAGCTTGGAGGAAAATCTCCCGTTGTCGTTGATTCAAATATCAATTTGAAGGTTTTAATATTTCCTAAGCCTTTTCTTTACCAATTACTTGCTATTACCTTAACCACTATGAAATTCACTCTTGACATAATTGTTAATAGGTAGCAGCTAGACGAATAATTTCTGGCAAGTGGGGATTGAATAATGGACAAGCCTGCATTTCTCCTGATTATGTTATAACAACAAAAGACTATGCTCCCAATTTGGTATGAAATTTTCCCCATGTTTAATTGCCAATTGGAGTTCTGAATCCATGTCTTTGTTTATTTATTGTTTGATGGCTCCTATTTCTAGGTGAATGCCCTCAAGACCGAATTGGAGGAGTGTTACGGTAAGAATCCGATGGAATCTGAAGATTTGTCTCGAATTGTGAGTTCCAACCACTTTGCTCGCTTGTCAAGGTTCTTGAATGATGATAAGGTTTCTGGCAAGATTGTTTACGGAGGTGAAAAGGATGAAAAGAAATTGTAAGCTCACTTAACATGTTTTTAATTAAATTTAACATCTGTTGGGAGATTTTTTATTAACGAAATGCAATAGATTTTGACATTGGCTTTTTTATTATCCTAAAATTTGCAGAAGGATTGCTCCTACTATTTTATTGGATGTTCCGCGAGATTCTCTGATAATGGGCGAGGAGATATTTGGTCCATTGCTTCCTATCATCACGGTATGAATAAAGGGAAAAAAAGAGACCGTTTGTATGATATTTTGAACTTCAAATTCCATTTATGTTCTTAGGTCGCTCTTCCAAAAGTCTAATATGAACAATTCTCAGTTCTATAAAATGTTTTCAACTGTAACAGTAATTGTAATGTGCTTCTTCAGCTTTGAAAAGAGTCACAAGTAACAACGCACTTAGAAAACAAACATTTTGTTTTGATGTAAAAAGGAGATTAAATTCCTTACTTTTTTTGTTGCGTTGAACAGGTCAATAAACTTGAAGAAAGTCTAGATTTGATCATCTCAGGAGAGAAGCCCCTGGCTGCATATGTATTCACAAACGACAAGAAGTTCCAGGAGCAGTTCGTAAAGAATGTTTCTTCTGGGGGTTTACTTGTCAATGACACTACCCTACATGTAATATATTTTCTGTTCTGTTCTGGGGGTTTATTTTCTGTTCTGCATGAATTTAAAATGAACATTCATGAGTTTTCATGGTGCAGCTTGTGGTTGATACTTTGCCATTTGGGGGAGTTGGAGAAAGTGGAATGGGAGCATACCACGGGAAGTTCTCGTTTGATGCTTTTACACACAAAAAGGCTGTTCTTTATCGCAGTTTTGCGGGTGACTCGTCGTTAAGGTACCCACCATACACGGATACAAAGCAGAGATTGATGAAGGCTCTCATCGGTGGCAGCATCCTTGGCATAATTCGTGCTCTTTTGGGGTCGTCCTAAGCTTATTTTGTTTTCAATTCAAAACTTGCTGTTGTTGATGTATCATTTTGCTTTTATTTATTTAGCATGCTGTTTAGTTTTACTGTAATTGTTGTTTCATACAAAACCAATAAATGACAAATTAGTCAATATTATTGCTCCTTTTCTTTGTGACTTTGTTAAGATTCTTGTATGTGGTTAATGCCTTTTTTAGAGCGTATTAGTATACATATATAAAATATGCCCTTCACGGAAGCTTTACACATGTCAAATACATAATCCAGGTTTTGCTAGCACTTTTCATCTCTCTTGATAATGACCTATGATGCCGTGAATAATATGTATATATAATTTCACACTTTTTTTTTAATTTTTTTTAATGAATCATGTCACTTTCTAATAAATTTTTTTCCTTCAAATAAATTATGCTTTCCAGTTGTACTTTCTTCCTTTGCACCTTATAATTAAATGTAATTGTTTAATTCTCCAACCTTTTCTTTTTCATAATCAATAATGTAAGTTATTTTTGTAATTTATATTGTATTAAATATTATAGTCTCACATTTAGTACGGTCTAATCTCATCGATGAAATAAAAAAAACTCATGGTGACAGTGTTATTTTTATAAAGAATTTAAATAAGTGTTCAGTTAAAAAGATTTGGATCACTATAAACCCATAGTTATTAATATCTTTAATATATATAAAAAGTAAAAAAATATTTTTATTTTTTAACTAAATACGGACGATAGAAAAATTATTCTATTTAAAACTTAATGTATATATACTATTCATGTTTCACAATTATCATAAGCATCACATCTTACACAGTTTGAAAATGAAATTTAGGTTGGAAAGGGTACTTTCGGAAATGTAATTCTGGAGAAAGAATCAGCTTCCATTTCAGGGAACAGTTGGAAAGGAAAACAATCTTGTGTTCTTATGGAAACACTATGCATTGCTTTTATCATCCAAAGCACTAAGTAATAGTCAATAATGTTATTGTCAGTTATTCTTATTAAAATAAGGTAAGTTAAAGACAATTTTGTAAACTTATTAATTATTCTGTTTTTTCTTTCATTAAATAAAACCATTTAAGAAATATCTAACGTAGATATATAATATTATTAATAAATAAAAAATAAAAATAAAAAAAATAAATTTATAAATATAAAATATTTAATAATTATTAAATTTAAAGTGAAAAAATAAATATTAATATAAATTATAAGATTTTGGATATCCTAACCCTCCTCCTCTTTAAAAAAAAAAAAAATCCTCATGCCACTGTTAATATTCACTTTTAAAAGAAAAAAAAAACTTGATTTATCTTTGAAACACGTAAAGAAGAAAACAAATGTGATTTAACCTGTTATATAGTAAGTAAAAGTAGATAAAAAATTTGTGGTGTTCATTCATACATATCGGTTTAGAAGCAGGAAATTATGCAAAAGTTCAAATCTTATCCATTTCATGGATATTATGAATCAATCTTGAGGGATGGTTACTGCAAAGTCACTGTGTTTGACTAGAGTGTTCCTAATTTTATTTGATTTTTATTAAATAATTATAAATATTAAATATACAATTAAATTATAATTTAATTTGGTTCATTTTAATTTAATATAAAATTTAAATTAAATTAAATCAAAATAATATTTTATGATTCTATTAAAATATTTTTTATGATTTTTTATATTATAAAATATTTTTTATAAAAATTATGAAATATATTATAGAACAAATACTACATATTTTATAACAAAAATTATTAAATACAAATATATTGTATTTTTTATAATTATATGTTATGATAATTTAAATGTTTTTTTATATTCATAAATTATACTACAGATTTATTATGCTATTTTGATAAGTGTAAATATTATAAGTCAAATATTATTAAATTATTTGTTGTTAATTAATTTTTAGCACATAACATTATACATAAATACAAAAGTAATTTAGTTTATTTTATTTTATTTTTATCCTCAAAATTTCAACTGAAGTGTTTAGTTGAGAAAAAAGAGAGTAAAAGTTTTCTTAAAAAAAAACTTTATCTTATTCTCATTATTATTATTATCATATGCTCCACTAAATAATTAGATATTTTAATCAAAATGATTATTGATTTATTTAAATCTCTTAAATTTTGAAATTATTAAACAATACCATAACTTTGTTGGAGTACTCTTTATTTCATCATCATCCTTCACTTTATTGTTTGGTTTTTGCGTCTTTAAATAGCTAGCACTTTCCACTTTATTGTTTGGTTTCTTTCTAGGTGATATTTGCTCAATTAAAAACAAACAAAAGATTATGCAATTCATACACAACTAGTAAGCTCAAATATGTAACCAAATCTTATCAAATTTTATATGACTCAACTACTCAACTTTAAATTTGACATTGTTTAACAAAGAAGTTAAAGTAGACAATTATGTAAGGGCTTGTTTGGTTCCAAAAGAAATGGTCAAAATAATTATTTATTCACTTTGTTTAGAAGCTTTTGTATTGAATATAATATATGATGGAACTATAATGCTTAATACTGCAATCAAATACACAACAAAATTAACAAAGACAAACAACAAGGAACTATGAATGAAAAATCAAGAGACAAGCATCAGGTCCATCAAAGACAAGAAAACATCTATAAATAAATAAATGAATTTAAAAAATTTTCAATACTTAGATGTTAAAAGTTTTCCAAAAAAAAAAAATGATAGTTGTGGATTATCATTAACACCAAGGAGAGTGAAAATATCAAATTGCACCCAAATCAAAATTAAAATTAAAATAGAAACTCCGAAATTTCTATATTCAAAATGGTATGCCGTTGTCTTATGCCTACGAAGATATGATGGCCAAATGGCCAAATTCACTGTTGTTCGGTGGTGAACAAAGATTTTGAGATTCCAAGATGAATGAAAATTGAGGGTGGTGTCAATCTTTTTATGTAGGTTAGATTTATGTTTTATTATTGTTGTTTTTCTTTGGTGAATCTTTTTTTAAAAGATTCATCAATAGTATTAGAGTCGATGATTTGTGTGGTGATCGACAATTTAAGAGTAGTTCTTATATCGAAAGTCTTCCTGGCGATGAGCTGAAAGAGATGTACCGATGAAAAAGTTGAATAACATATAAAGAAGAAAGACTCATAACTCAATATCTTAAGGTCTAGTGTTTGTGACTCATGTCTCATTGTTGGCTCTCCCAATGACCCATTAAACATAAGGTGGACATCAACACAAGATTTTGTATTGTCTTTGTCGAAGGGGAGAAGACTAGGGATGGCAAAACGGGTCAGATTCGTCCCGTTTTGGCCTGCCAAAAGCGGGTCAGGGTGGGCTACAAGTCTCGGTCCACCCCACCAAAGGACGGGCTAGCCCGTCATATTTTTTATTTTATTTTGTTATTTTTAAATCAAATCTTTCAATAAAAGAGAGTAAAAAAGTATGAGATATATATGATTTTTACCTTATGAAGAAGGATGAGCAAGAAGGAGATGATGAGTAAGAGGAGAGGAGAAAGGAGTTTGTGGTTGAGAAAGGAAAGTGTTTTTCATAATGTGAGTTTAAGTAATTATAAAATTTTTTGAATTCTCTTAGTAGTAAGATAGTGAGACTTTATGAATTTTTTTTATGAGATACTAAGACTTTTATAATTCTTTTTTCATAAATCTTTATATTATATAATATCTTTCTGACTCTTTGTATTTATATCACATTAAAAAAAATTATTAATAAAGTGCGTCGTGAGCTAACCCACCCCGCCCGTGGGTTGGCCCCGTGAGTTGGCGGGCTTGGCGGGGCGGGCCAAAACGGGCTGAAAGTATTAACCCGCCCCACCATATTATGGCGGGTTGTCGGTCCTGACCCATTTTGTCATCCCTAGAGAAGACACAGACTTTTTTACCTTTCTATTTTTACACTTGAGAGATTGTTGAGAAATCCAAGTGTAATTTTAAATCTCACATTGAGTAAAAATAAGAAAATTGAGAAACATATAAAGAAGAAAGATTCATAATTTAATGTTTTAAGGTTTAGGGTTTAAGGCTTATGTCGTATTATTGTTATCTCCCTGATGAATCCCCTATCGAAAGACCTATTAAACACAAGGTGGAAATCAACACAAGATTTTGTGTTGTCTTCATTGAAGGGGAGAAGACGCAGACTTTTATACCTTTTTAGGTCAAAAATATATGTTATTTATATGATAAGGTCAATTTAAAAAAAATTACAAAATTAGGTAAAATTGTGCTTAGAAACATGATTTCACTATGAAGAACGCTGCTTTGTGAGACGAGTTTAATGAACTAACACTGAAATTGTATTAGGTAACACAAATTGAGTTTGAGACCTTTTTTTTATGAAATTGTGCTATATAGCACAAGTTTATTTTTATTTTTTTAAACCTGTGTTAGGTAGCACAAAATTAGTGAATTATTTTTTTCAAAAATATAAATATTTGATTATTTACATCAATATATTATTTATAAATTAATTAATTTTAGTTTAATTGTGTTATATTATTGATTCGAAATAGAAAATAAAGATATAGAGAGAAGTAAGAGCATAAATTAATTTAAATTAGTAAATTTACATTAAATTAAAATAAAATATTACATATATTATTGTAGAAAACAAATTACAAAATACTTAATTATGAGATCGTGTCCTATAAGGTGATCTTTTAATTTGTCGTTTGAGTCTACGTGGTTAGGTCTGTGTAGGTCTTTGTTGTGCTTGTTTAATATGTCTATGACCATGTGTTGGCTGGGGTTAAAAGTTTCTTTCCATATTATCATTATCAATATCTTTATCATCTTCATTTGCACACTACATAAGGGCACGTTGGGCATAGTAGACATGAAACGAACTTGATTGTATGCTTTAGTATCATGAAAGAAGTGGAAAACATATTTATTTCAAAGGGAAATAAAGTAAATATATGAGAAATCCGACCTCCAAATTGAAATTAACTAGGTAAATTTGAAGTTGGTCAATATCTTCATAAAAT